AAAAAAATTAGTTTTATTGTTTGAATTGCATAGCTAGGAGCGGTAAGGCAAAGAAGGTTATATAGATTTGATTTTTCTTACCATGATAAATAACTTGAGATTTTAAAAGGTGATTTCTCATTTTATAAATATTCTTCACAACATATAATTCTGTCATAAGATGAATTGTGCTTAAGTAACCATATTTTATAGTCTGTCTCATGTTATCACTCTTTTTCTATATAGTATTTTCTAAGTTTGTGAAACACTGTATATCATTACTGAAGTTACATTTCAAAATCTTACTTTGTAATGTTGTTCTTTACCAGGGAGTGATGAATGTATACCCACATGCTGGAAAAGAGAAGGTTTATACACAATGCGGGTTTTCTTTTTTCGTTGTTTACAGTTTCTCTGGGGAAAAAGAGAAACAATTATCTCGTGTAAAAATCTAAATACTTCTTTGTATTGCATTTACTGATGGCAGAAGTATCATTTTATTAGTTTTCATTTCGGTTGTAAATATTTAAAAATTGAACAAAACATTTAATTCTTAGCTTTTTAAAATATGAATAATAGAGCAAAGGAGTTGGGGTTACAAATAAGGGTTTTAGTGCTCACTTTGGCAGCACATATACTAAAATTGAAATGATACAGAGAAGATTAGCATGGCCCTATGCAAGGATGACACACAAATTTGTGAAGCATTCCATATATATTAGCATTCCATATTTTTAAAAGATGATGACTTCACATCTTTTGTATTAACTTGGATGGAGTTGAAACACATTCTTCTCAGTAAAGTGTCACTAGAATGGAAAAGCAAATATCAATGTTGAGTACCACTATACTCAACACTAATATGAATCCAGAAGATGATCTAACATACTCACACTGGAGAAAAGTTGGTGGTGGGCAAGGGAGGATGAGGGAGGTAGGAGAAAGGAGGGAGGTTGGGGTGCTTCCACTGAATGGGCACAATGTAGGAGTATATGGCATACCTTTTGGGTATAACTACAAGGACATAACTACAAGAGGGACTCTACCTAACACATTCAAATATTGTGATTAAGTTGTCTGTACCCTCACATTAACCTGAGATAAATAAATAAATAATTTTTTAAAAGGGAGGTTTAGTTAAAGCATGCATTTTAATGAATTCTGTCTCAGAAAATCAGGTTATTTTTGTATGAACCATAACTTTTCCTTTCTTTTTAATTCTAATAACTTACATGAATTTTTAGTGTTTTTCTGCCTATTCATTTCTGCCAGACTACATTATTCT